GGGGAATCCAGCCCCTCCCCTGTTACGGCAGAGAGCTGTGACAGGATCGAGAGGTGGGCGAACGCCGGTATATGTTCCCTCACCTCCCGATCTACTGAGCCGACCTGTGACAGTCTCATTGTCACAGGTCGGCTAGAACTATGAGGTGAGTGAAAAGCACTCGCCTCATAGTTCTCCTTTAAGCTGCTATTTGTAAACATCATTTACAGAAAGGAAGGTGAGAGGAGTAAACGTTGGTCAGGTGATCAGCATTATCTCGCTGGCCTCTGCATATGAATGAACATGTAATCAGCCGTCTCTGTAAACATCAATCGGTAGACGTAACAAAGGACAACAAGTGGATTCAAATGACTTTAAAGTGTCTGCAAGCCATAAAGCTGCCATACCAGCCGGCTAAACCAAAGAAATGGAACAGATTCCCCCATCCAGCGCAGACGGACAAATCTATAGTATTCTCCCAGCCGGCACCCACCACTGTCCGAATACCGAAACAATGGCTGCATCTGATTGGCTGACAATGTTCCACCCGGCCCCTTCGACTAGTAGATGAAAAAATGGACTTTTGTGGAGCCGGGTGGTGTCGGCGGGGCCAGACACAGCTTGTATGTCACTGAGCGGGGGTTCTGCCCTAAATGAGGACAGCGTCTGGCCACCTTTACAATCCAGTTTGCTCCCCTTTGCTCTGGTAAATTAACTATTTGAACACGTTTTCTTATATCAGTCTAGTTAGAACATTAGGTTAGAAATCCGGCGCCGTCCTGCGCACTTCTGAGGCTCCGTTCACACCCGAGCCTGTGCAGTACAAGTGTTTCACGTGTTCATACGCACAGACAAAAACACGCACACATTTTAAATAGACGCGCGGTCGCTGCCACAAGCACAGTCAGGACACGCAGCAACTGCCTAGAAAATCACGCATGTACTTTTTCTTGGTGTGTTTTGCGCATTCTTGTCCGCGCGTACAAACGTGCGGGTGTGAATGATTCACCTTAGAATGCATCGCCTTTAGGCCCCATTCACACTGAGTGACATGTACCTGGAGCGGATTTCGGGCGACGGTCGCACAACCTTCACTATTGTGCTGCATGCAAATGGAGCAAAATCACGCGACATCCGCAGCAAAAAAAGGGCCCTGCACAAGCGACATCGAGCTGTAGAATAGAACAGCTCCATTGAAAATCATTGGACGAGTGAGTTCTCGCGATATCGTGAGGCAATATGCGCGATTTTCGAGCGGAAATCTGCTCAGTGTGAATGGGGCCTTAGTGTTTTGCGTGTTTCCACTCAGATGTGCGCCGAGCCTTAAAGTGAAATTAAACCCTCAGATTTTTTAACATAAAGCAATACTGTAATGTGCGCCTTACTGTAATCCATGGTTGTTTCCCTTCTCTTTGCTGCTCTTCCTTTTAAATCCTTATCTCTTCTCATGCTGGGCAGAACTTCTGTTTTGCAGCAGACTGCCTTGTCTCTGGAATGGATACATGGTGTCTGTGTGTAGGTTCACAACCTGAGCCAGCACTACAGGAAGAGGCACTCAGCTGCAAAGGGAAGTTCTCCCCAAGCATGAGAAGACATGAGGATTTAAAAGGAAGAGCAGCAAAGAGAAGGGAAACTACCATGGATTACAGTAATGCACACATTACAGTATTGGTGGTTTATGTTAAAAAATCTGAGTGTTTAATGTCACTTTAAACAATGTTATCAGGAAGTTTGTTAGGACCCCAGCACGCGGCTCCTATGTATAGGCAGGAAAGGGTTAAGCCCTCAGCCAGGTTATTTTTCCTCCCGCGTCTGTGTACTGTTGAGGAAATTTTCCTTCACTTTCTGTCCAAGAGACGCAGCAGGAAGTTAGAGGAAATCTCCCCAAGTGAGGGAATTCCCTTCTTAGGACAGCTCTCCCCATTTTGCCCCCTTACCGCGTGTGTGCCGGGGACAACGCTAATGTTTTGGTTCTTCTTTCTCGTCAATGGCGACCAGTAGACACCTGCATTCGGACGAACCTGCAAGTCACCGAAATTCAGTAGATTCGGCGGTTCGTCTGAATCTGAAATAACACATTTTGTTTTTGCACAAATATACTAGAAAGATATTTCGGGCATATAAAAATCTATCAGGACGCACGGCAGCCATGTTGGCCACTGGCGTGTTCTGCGCTTGCTTGCCGCCATCATGTAGGCAGGATGCATAACATCACATGGCGCCACGTCATGGGTGACGTTATTCGCAGAACGAGCGACAGCCAGATCAGCCGCCAGCGTGTTCTGGCAGCGCTTGCATATTCGGGTGCCGCCATCTTGGTGTACACCAAGATATGCTCCAAAATGGCGGTAGGCATGCGCAGAACACGCTGGCGGCTGCAGTTTCGGAGGCTCGTTGCCTCTGAATCTGAAAACAGCATTAAAGTTAGTTTCCATTGACGAAGCGAATGAAGATTATCGTCCGAAACAAATTTGTTTTGCCGTGCACATGTCTAGTGACCAGTATAGATATAGGGGTGACTGCCAGCAGGGGCGCAGACCACATTGAAAACTTGACAGAGGGTCTAACCCTCCCCCACCCCATCCAAAACTAACATAAAAAAGGTTTTGTCTAGAGAGAAATGTGAATTCCTGCATTGCAGATATATATGTGCGTCTGCCAACATTTAAAGTGACAATAAATTCAGGAGCCAAATCCTAAAAATACATTCAGGGCCCCCAACTATTAACAGAAATGTATGTTATTTGTGTCACTCGGCTGTAGATCCTCCAATCATCTCTGATTTGGTGCTGACACTGTCCTTCCTTCTGGAGGGGGGCTACTTTTGTTCCCCATGGTCCCTGTGTGTTGTAAAGTAATCACCACTCCAAGCTCGCTCCCATGATGGAGTACAATCTCATGTTTAGTTTACTCATTTGTATTGAGATTGTAGTCCATCCTGGGAGTGAGCTTGGAGCGGTGACTACTTTACAACACACAGGGACCATGGGGAACAAAAGTAGTCACCCTCCAGAAGGAAGGACAGTGTCAGTAGAACAGATGGTAAATAATGGAATACATGTGCAGGGAGGTCTGTGAATCCCTCTCCTGCAGTGGCAGATGGGACTTGTAGTCATTCACAGGACTTGCAGAGCCCTGTGAATGAATGATGCTGCGCCTAAGTCCCCGGATCAGATACAACCTCCTGTGTGTGCAATGATGTGACCAGTCGGGTGGCCCTGCCTGTGTGTGCAATGATGTGACCAGTCGGGTGGCCCTGTCTGTGTGTGCAATGATGTGACCGGTCGGGTGGCCCTTTCTGTGTGTGCAATGATGTGACCGGTCGGGTGGCCCTTTCTGTGTGTGCAATGATGTGCCCCCGTGCCTATGTACACCGGACACTCTATGATGCGGTCAGCCCCGCCCACATTGGTCACTCACCTTCGTTGTGGTACATCATGCCGATGGTCCCCCCGGTGTTCATCACCAGCACCCTCGCCTCGCTTGACAGGCCGCTCAGACTCTCCAGGGATCCGGACAAGCTCTGGCTCTTGGACAGCTTCCTCTTGCGGCTGCTCTGTGTCACCCGCGGGTTCACGGTGCCGGGGGACTGCACCGGACAGCCGCCCATGGGCTCCTGCTCCACCAGATCCAGGTGGGTGTGTGAGAGAGCCGTGGAGAGCCGGGACACCGAGGTGACACGGGGGATGCCATTCTTGTCTTCCTGCTCCATAACGATCGCCTGCAGCCACCACAACTGAGAATGAGAATGAGAGGCCCCGCCCCCCCGGTCCGGGTGCACGTGGGAGATAAACAGCCTCTGTGGTCACGTGTGCAGCACACCCCCGCCCCCCCCTTTCAGAGCAAACGCCCCCACAACAGGATCTGTCACTGGCTGGAGGAGGGGGAGGTGCTGATGATGCAGGTGGTAGAAGTGGTGTCACTCATCTCTACCTTTGGATGGGATACAACAGTGGTGGGGGCTCAGACGTGGCAAAATCAGATGACAGAGTTTTACATGCAGAGAGATCCGCAGGCACATCATTTTGACTTAAAGTGACATTAAGGTTAAACAAAAAAAATGCCTCCCCCAATGTTAATGAAAGCACTTACCTTAAATGATGTCTCTTAAAGGAGAACTATGGGGTTAAGGCTTTTCCCAATAGTTCTCCTTAGGGTAACGGGAGGACACAAACTAGCGTCCTCCCGTCACCCTAAGCTCAGTATATAGAGAGCTACAGCTCACGGTATACTGAGACGCCAGAGCGAATCCCGACATCGATGTTGAGATCCGCCCAGCTGCGTGAGTGACAGCTGGCTCTGCCTATCTAGAGGCAGAGCCAGCTGTACCCGCCACCTCCCGCGTCCGTTCCGCCAGTCAGCGCTGGCGGATCGGGGAGGGGGGAATCCAGCCCCTCCCCTATCACAGCAGAGAGCCGTGACAGGATCGAGAGGTGAGCAAACACCGATATGTGTTCGCTCACCTCCCGATCTACTGAGCCGACCTGTGACAGTCTCATTGTCACAGGTCAGCTAGAACTATGAGGTGAGTGAAAAGCACTCACCTCATAGTTCTCCTTTAATCTGATCTTCTTCTTTCCTGTCCTTGCCATCTGTCCCTCCCGCGCTGTTGCGGGTCTCCGATCATGAGCTGACTCCTCTGTGCTTGCTGGCGCTTCCTGTCCCACAGTCTGTGCGGGTGCACGCCGTCCATAGACTTACCTTGTGTCTCTCATCTCCCGGCCGAAAATGTGAACTGCGCATGCATGTGAACGCCCAAGATGCTTTGCGGCCGCCCTAAAATTTTCCGCTTCAGGTAAGTATTAACCTATTTTAATGTTTGGGGGTTTTCTTTACACTTTTTGCATATATTTACTGCTTGCTAGCCGTAGATAAATGCAAAAAAGAAAAACAACAGAGGGTTTAATAACACTTTAACTTGTCACAGCGATCAACATTAGGCGGCAGCAGGGTCTTATTTTTTTTTTTCCCTCAGATCTGCAGTTGGCAAATTGCTCGCTACGCCCTTCCCCATTCAACTGCCAGCAGGAAAACTCCAATCCACAGTGGCAGGGAGCAGTAACCAGCTTGCCTTTGGATATTTATATTGCAATATCAGGTTGGCTATTGTACCCGCCCACTGCCTGCTGTCACTCAGCAGAGGAGAGACCTGAAGGAAAAAGTCCTTCAGGTTCGTTCCTCTGGTGATTTTTAAATAGCCAATTGCAGGCTTGCTACTGCTTCCCACCACTGCGGATCAATCAGGAGGGGAGCGGACCTGAAGGATAAAGTTCTCCTTCAGGTCCGCTCCTCTTATGCGCAGTGGTTGGGAGCAATAACCAGCCTGCCATTGGCTATGTCAAATATCAAGAGCCGGCTGAATATTACAACCCCTAGTGAACATTCAGCTCCTGGCGGCACAATATTTCCACCAGCAGCTGTCAATTACTTAGTTCCAGACCATGTCCTGCACAGCCGAGGTAACTCCACTGTCCCACACCACCCCATTCCCAAGACCCCCCGGCCGCTACACTTCCCCCCGTAGCCTATTCAACGGAGGCAAGAATCTACTCCAGTGGCTGAAAACAATAGCCAACCTGCTATTGGCGATTACAAAATGTAGTAGCAGGCTGGCTATTGTACCTGCCCACTGCCAATCAGCAGAGGAGCAGACCTGAAGGAGAACGTTCTCCTTCAGGTCTGCTCCTCTGCTGAATAATCCGCAGCAGTGGGTAAAGATGACACTAGGGGTTTTAATAGACCTCCCATTGTCACCTTGAAGAGAACCTGTCACCTCCAATGTGCTATCACGTAGGGGGCTTGAGAGATTCGCCCCAGGGAATGATTAACAATTTCCAACAAAATGGAAAATAAGCCCGATTGATACTATATGACTAAAGATCAAAAGATAGTGAACCTCATTAATGGGATCACAGGGAACAAGAGATGCTGATCTTGCCCAAGTGGACAAGCCAAGTAGCTGACAAAGATTTACAGAGTGCTTCTCATTGAGGGCACCAAATAAAAAGAAGTACCCCGAAGGATACAATCCTATTAGAAGATAATGGACACCTCCTAAAAGGGAGTGCGAGTAGGATGGTGACAGACCCAGAGGTATTTAACCAATATAGGAAAAACAAAATCCCAGTGTGTGGGGAACGCCAACAATCTGGGACTAGGCACATAGAGGTACAGACAGCCAGATGAGTGAGGAAAGGCAACCGGGCACAATGCCCAATAGTAGTGTTAGAAATGGAGCTACAGGGATGAACCTGAGCTCCTTTACTCCATTCCATGAAACAGGTAAATTGCCTAGGCCTCAAAAGGGAAAGGCAAAACATCTGAAGCTTGGGATTCTTCTGCTCCATCTACAGATCTCCTATGGTGAGACATACATGGCGGGTCATAGAGCTAGAACCGGATGGCTCAGGCCAGCCACTGTCAAACACATGAACAGATAGACATCTACCTTCATTGGGTAATTGAATAAAGCCTTCTGTAATTAGAGCAGAATTAAACCCGCTGAACACAAGGGGCAGGTCAGGGAGAGTTCAGCCTAGAATAGGGCTGGATGAGGCTGGACATCCTCCAGACAGGAAAAAGACGGGCTCTCTGACTTGCTGCAACTTCTATTGCATACTGGGGGTTGCCACCTTTCCTTCCATTGAAACCCGAACATTCTAGCAACGCACTGAATTCTTTTGGGGGAGAATGAGTCACGGTTTATTCATATGTAAATAGCGCCTCCCATTCATATGTAAATATCACAGTCAAGACTATTGTCAGTGGGGGGCCAGTAGCCCGTCTGCCTGACATCTTGTATCCAGCTTTCAGCTGCCATGAAATCCGGACACAACATTCAAAACTCGGACTGTCCGGGTGAATCCCGGACAGGTGGCAACCCTATTGCATAATCTGACCAGTGTTCAGTGATAGAAGAGTAAGCAATTTCAGTACAGGAGGAGTCTGTACATCTGAAGGAAAATCTGCTGTTCAGCATACAAGGGAAGTCTTGCTCTTAATTGGTGCAAATCATACACACCAGGCTTCACCTCAACTCTCACCATCACAGTCAGTCTAGGGCAGGGGTAGGCAACCATGGCTCTCCAGCTGTGCTGAAACAAATCCCATCATGCTTCTGCCTCTGGGAGTCATGCCTGTGGCTTGCAATGCCTTATGGGATTTGGAGTTTCAGCACAGCTGGAGAACCAAGGTTGCCTTACCCCTGGTCTAGGGCCTAGTTGGGGATATACATCTACAAGTTCAACATTTCCAGCAAGCAGGCTCCTTGATGAACATTTTTCCACATTTGCATAGCAAAATTCTTTCCCGGTCAGCCTGTGTGTCATGGTGGCCGATCTGTCCATGATCTAAACTCAAAGCTGACAACCAGTACACGCTCCACGATGGTAACTGAATCACGGCGACTTTGTGGCAGATAGAAATGTTGAAAGATCAGAGGAATGGGTGGCGGGTCAGGCAAGTATGAATAATGTTGAGTAGGAGGCGGCTTTTAACACCGAGTCACTTAAAAGCTTTCCAGTTAATTTCCTGCAATTCTCACAGGACTTTAGGTTGTTACTTCGGCCGAAATTAGCACTAGAGAGAGAGAGAGAGAGAGAGAGAGTGTGTAGTGTGTGTGAGTGTGATGGAGGGAGCTTGGATTGTAAACTCGTTGAGGTCAGGGACTGAGGTCAATGTACAGAATGTAAAGCGCTGTGTAAATTGTCGTCAGCGATATACAGGTACCTGGAATACATCTGTTATCAGCACTGGGGATCACAGAAAGAAAAATGGTTTTGCAGCACGCGTCTTCAATATTTGATCATTTCCAGATTGGTGTTTGCGTCACTTGCGCTTTGCTCTTTGTAGATGACACAGCCTAAGGTGCTGATGGCCCTCAACCAACCCCGTTTAAAGACTGACACATTTTATTTGTCTTTAACGCTTGCTTGAGCGGTTTCCATTTAGTATTCAGCTTGTATAATTACCAGAGCATAGTCATTGGAAGGAAAACTAATCTGCCTCAGAGGCAAAATATATTGGACAAGATGTCTGTGGCTGAGATAAATTCAGGCTTCTCCAGACTCTAAAGTGCCAGAAAATTGTATTCATTCTATGAGCACTTACAGAATAAACACCCCCATATCTCTCTATGTAAATGTACATCCACACCGCTTGTCATTTGAAGTAGAAGTATGGCCTCCAGGTTCATTTGTACATACTGTTTAATCTCACTCCGTCTTGCAAAGTGCCACAAATACCTGTTAATGCTGCCAGCAAAGTCCTTCTAATGCAGTTTCCTCTGATGTTGAGCCTTCCTGAATGCAGAGTTACTGGTCATGTAGGCTGTACCTGCAGGCCCTACAGAGGGATAAAAGAAAGATGTTGCAGGGAGTGTGACTTGTCCACATTCTCAGTGCTGATTTACAAGCCTGTCGCCTTGTCAATCAGCAGCAGGGTGGTCTGCCCCCCTTGTTATAGCAATAAAGTTAATTTTTTTTTTAAACGTAAACGTTTAACAAAAAACACTCAAAAACTTTTTTAAAAGCCCCCCAACTTACAAATGTACACAAACATATACACGAATACTAAAGCAATTGTGTAACACATATTGGGTATTGCTGCGCACACAGGGCAAGAGGAATAATTGTAGGACCATCGTATACGGTTAGCTCTAACCTGAAGGCCCATGGACAATTTTGGGTACTGCCATTTCACAGGTGCACCCAAACTTAACCCCTTCGTGACTGACGACGTACAGTGTACGTCGCCAGCATCGGGACGACAGATTAGATCTCTGTACACTCGACACAGCCATATATTTAATGTTACCAAAAAAGTGGTGTTTGCATACACCTGTGTGCGCAAAATAAAAAATAAATAAAAAAAGCTCCAGCAGCAAAGTGTCAGGACCTACGAGGACGGGAATTAATGTCAGCACTATAAAATACTGCATGTTAGTTGTTTTTAGTAGCAGGCTTGTTTTTTTTTTATATGGTTACCTCTATCATTTCATCTCCTTACAAATTCAAGGCCTCAAGGTAGGATGAAGTCTAATGAAGTGGAATTTTCATCCCTGCAGCGGCCTCCATCACCCACAGACTTATCTTTGAAAACACGGTTAGGAGAGCAAAATAAAGAGGAAAAAGAACCTCCCCCCGACAGAGCCAGTTTCTGAAACCACCAGAATATGGACAGCCTGATCCTTTATGTCAAAAGAGTCAACTTGTCCCACAATGATAGAATGTTGTGCAGCGAATTCCTTGACTGACCCTAGACCATTGCATATGTCCCATAGGAGGCATCAAGACCCACACAAGACCCAAGAAAAATTAGACGGCTCCACACAAACCTGAGATTGGAAAAGTCGGTCGTTTCTGGCATGAGAAGTGTCCAGGACCAGCCCAATATATTCTAAGTGATGGGTCTGTCAGGGAGGACTTTTCAAGTTTTAAATGAGCCTTTTCAACATCCGAAGTCAGAGAAACCTCCTCCTCCAGAGCCCTTGTCAAATGTTTTCACACCCTGAGGTTTTCCAAGTAACCCACAATCAGGATACCCCGAGAGCATAAGAGCCAAGATTTATGTGAACATTCAAGGTGCAGAGGACAAGCAGAAAGGAAGGGCCATGAAATGGCGGCATAGGCACCATGAAGCGCTGGAAAAATGGGTACAGGCAAGTAAGCATCCTGCATGTCCACTGAGGCCAGAGGGTCCCTGTGACGCAGAAGTAAATTAACAGATCTAGAACATTCCATCTGGAAAGGTTTTTCATGAAACTAAACATTTTAGGGTTTGAGTTTGAGAATAACCCAAGCTCATTTAGGCTTGGGAATGGTGAACAGGGCCCAGAGAACACATGATTGAGATCAGCCAGGTGCAGAGACACAATGGAAGATTGAGAAAGAGGCCACCTTTTGGACCCAAGCATCAATAAATGCCAATAAAGATGTATTTAAAGATCATGCTGCAAAGACGACAAGTGTTAATTAGCGCTACAGTATCACCAAACTTCACTCTATTGAAGAGATCCAGGAGTGCAGGATTCCTGAGGTGCCCCTCTGTGCTCAGTGGTTTGATCCACTGGCCTCCCTATGTTACTGCTTCAGGAGAAACCAGAAAGCACAGCAAGGGATCAGGAATTCTGACACTCAGTTAATTCTGAAAATTGTTCCGGCACTTTTTATCTCTTCAATATAGCGAAGCTCAGCGGCACAAGAAGAAAGAGGCAAAATTAGGACAGTTTACATAAAATAAGAGGTATACACTAATCCTTTTGGGGGAAAAAAATTATTTTGGGTTGTAATGTTAGGTGAACATGTAATACACTTACAGATTAGATGAACAGCTCCCATCTAACCACACAGCTGCTTTCCCACTTGGGAAAGTTTGGGTTTGAGAATTGACTGTGAAGACCAAAAACAGCATCCAGGGAGGAAGGAGTATACCCGGAAACACCAGGTACTGCTGACTGCCCAATGGAGCAGAGGATAAGCATGGGGAAGCATCAGTGGGAGGGTTTCAAGAGAACCTGTCACTTTTCAAACATATTTAAGTTCTAAGTTGAAAGTAACATTACTAATGCAGCCGATGGTTTCTACCTAAAAAAATTGATCAAATCTGAAAAACAAAACATGGCAACAATTTCAAAAATCCCCAATACTCCTTACAAGCAGCAGATGGCAGCACAGTCATACTATATACATCTGTCACCAGCTTGCCTTATGTTTGTGCCCATTTTAGTGAAATGTCAGTTGTGCCAAATCTGCTGCCAAATCTGTTGTTTGTTATGGCTCAGTAAGCACAGCACACAGAATTCTATAGAGGTTCTTAGACACAGATTTACCATCAAAGTGATAAATCATATCTAGACATCTCACCGCTGACCATATGAGTAAAATTAATAAATATAAGCAAGCCGGGTAAACCGGTCCCATGATCATTTGAAATGCTTCTATATCCGATACAATGACAATATACTATCACATATAATACTAAAACCCCGTTATATCTCATACTTCCTGAGGTTACCAGATATTAACCTTCTTGGCGGTACTCCAGAGTGTGGCTCGGGGTTAATTTTCAGTATCAAAAGCGGTAACCCCAAGCCACACTCAGGATTACACAGCGCTTCACTTACCTTCTCCCTACGAGCCGCGCTGTGCCCTCCGGCCAATGCCGGCATCCGTCTTCCGTCCTTTGCGAGCGGTCGCGTCGCAGGGGGGGCGGAACCAGCGGGAAATTTAAAAAAAAGCGAAAAATATTGGGAAAAATCCGATCGCCAGGGAGGTTAAAGAGTATCAAGTCTCCATAAAGGGAAGGCCACAGACATCAGAGGGGGAGAGAATGTGCAAGCATAGCAAGACTTCCCCTCAACACTACAGAAAGTTGTACAATGCTACATCTAAAAATATTATATGTGTGAATGGATTACATTGTTTACAATTCATTTTGTTAAAGGAAGGAAAAAAAATTACATCAGATAGCTCAGAAAAGCAAAATCCACTTAAAGGAGAACTATGAGATGAGTGCTTTTCACTCGCCACATAGTTCTAGCCGAACTGTGACAATGAGACTGTCACAGGTCAGCTCAGTAGATCGGGAAGTGAGCGAACACATACCGGCGTTCGCTCACTTCTCGATCCTGTCACAGCTCTCTGCCGTGACAGGGGAGGGGCTGGATTCCCCCCTCCCCTGACTGGCGGATCGGACAGGGGGCGGGTACAGCTGGCTCTGCCTCTACATAGGCAGAGCCAGCTGTCACTCACGCAGCTGGGCGGATCCAGACATAATTGTCAGGATCCGCTTCAGCGTCTCACGGTATAGCTCACGGTATACTGAGCTTAGGGTGACTGGAGAATGCTAGTTTGTCCCTCCGTGACCCTTAGAACTGTGGGGAAAAGCCCTAACCCCATAGTTCTCCTTTAATAATAATTGAATACTAATAATGCACATAAATTAAAATAGCAAAATATGAAATAATTTCTAAATCCCAAACATTCGTTCTTAGCTTTTTTAATAGAGAAGGAAAGGTTTATTTTGCGTCTCTCTCACCTACAAAATTTTCCCTTGCTGCCCTGTAAACTAAACCGGAAGAAAATACCCTCCTAGACAGTTGTCAGCAAAACAAGTGTGTGTGTCCCCCCCCCCCCCCCC